GTGGTGTTGGTTGGGATATCTCAGTGGAAGCTCTGCTGCCTGCCCAGCTTTCACATGGAAATGTCAGTGGGTTTGGAGGAGGAAAACTGATGTAGAGAACAAACTTGCTAACTTACTAGAATTAAAACAAGCCTGAGATTTTCAGTGATTTTCAATGAATCATAAGTTAAATACTCAATTCTCTGTGAATTCTAGATGGTTTTGGACTTGTAATTCCTGTAATCTGTTTTGGTTTATTTTTCTGGCTGCAGACTTCTGTTCCTCACTCCAGTGCTTTGTGTTTCTAATCTTCTGGTAAAGTTAACGTGTTTTTTTTTTATGGTATATTAAGTTGAAATGGTTTGCAAAAACACTTTACAACTACAAGGGCACTTTGGAAATCTAGCATTTCAGATGATGCTTTTTCTTACTGGCTTGGACTTGTTCTTACTTACGACACATTTGTTCAAAGTCAAATGCATTCAGTAGAAAACACATTCTGTTTTCCTTGAGGCTCAGATCTTAGTTCGAGCGTATGAATAACGCAGGTGCTCTCTTGCTCCTGCTTAGTCTTGGCTAGCAGGTATAGCGTATACCTACATAATTTTGACCTTTTCATCCATAGCATTTCCAGAAAGACCAGAGGGCTCTCTATCCAATCCATGCTCAGCTCTGGTGTCATTACAAACCCCCGTCCCTCTTCCACAATGAGTCTGGGTGTGTTTGGAGCCAGATGTTGAGATGGTGTGAAGCTGCGCTGATATATGGCAGCTGGCGGTCTGGTTCCATTCTCAAAGTGTTTCCTCTGTTTGAATTGTGTGCGAGGGGGAGGTCGTCACTGTCTTTAAAAGATTAAAAAAAAAAATTAAAAAAAAATTTGTGGATGCAAGTTTGACAAGAGTGTAGGCTGTAATCTAGTGCCAACCAATAAACACGCCAGTATTTCACACACGGCTCTGCTTGCTGCGTGGTCTCTTCTTCCCAGCACTGTTACCCATGTATGTGAAGTTCACACTCTTGGAGACTGGGCAACGAAGTGTCACCGGAGGAGAAAGCCCTCCCTAAAGTGCCTTGGTACATTCACAGTCTGGAGGAGAAAATTTGAAGGGATGTCACCAACAGCCTGGTGTTGAGACGGGCTCATCTGAGCGGGGAGGGCACCCTGCAATAAAACTGGGGTGAATTTTAAGGCACGGCATAGTCTCACTCAGATGTTTCAAGTCCTGACCAAGAGCCTCGTGGAACAGAAGTGGTCCTGACTCCAAAGCTGCTCACCTATTTCACGAAGTCCTTACCAAGAGCCCTTCATGTGGAAATAGCCCCTTGCTCTGGGAGAGGCTGGGTGCCGCCTGCACCGAGAGCACCAGCACCCGCCGGGAGCTGGCGGTGACGGCCTTCGGCAGAGCGCGCTGCGGGGAGCAGCGAGGGCTGGAGACGGTGAGAAACGTGTTCAGAGGTGCCAGCATAGGTCGAGGAAAAATAACATGAGCTGCTTCAGACCCCGTTCTTGCAAATAACCTCCTGTGTTTGTGCTCTACATGTGTGTGCGAGCACAAACACTTCACTGAAGTCTGACCACTTTCCCAAAACTTTCCCTTGGGTGCCCAATGTGGCCCCTCGGAGCTGTCCCTTACCCCAAATGCCCCCGTTTCCCCCCAGTTTGGGGGCTGGGCTCTGCGGATGCCCCAGTGCAGCAGACTTGCCTTGGGGCTGGGGAAGAGTGAAGCAGCTTCATGCAACTCCCAGGGCTCCGGTCTGGCCCTCGCTCAGCCAGGGTGGAGGTTTCTCCCTCTTTTGGGATGTGAAACAAAATGCTGGGCAGGATCCACTAATGTGCAGCCCATCACAGCTGTAAATACAACCATGGGAGCTCTTAAGGTTTATCTGTAAAGTGAATGTGTCCTGATTTGGAGATCCATCTCTTACCCGCCCCCCGCTTTGCAAATTCCCTTTGGAATCTGAATGCAACTGGGCTCCTCCTGCACTGCATTATCGCAATGAGGGAAAACACACCGGCTCATGCATAACGCCCTCACGTTCGCAGCTGCAGAGCGGAGCCGAGGGCAAAATTAATCTCTGCTGACGGTGGAGTTAACGCCTTCATGGGCATGTGGCAAGGCAGAATCAGAGTGGGCTGTGCCCCCGTGGGGATGGGCAGCAGTGTTTTCTCCCCCACCCCGGTATTTCTGGCCGGGTGAGCAGCCGGAGGGATGCACTGGCTGGAAATCCAGCCACTCGTGCTTAGCTGCTTAAATGGGAGCTTAGTGGCTCAGCAAAGCTGTCCCCAATTATCTGCTGGGGGCTGAGCGGTGGAGAAGAGGGGGCTGATGTCTCTCACAGCGAGTTTTGGAGCAGAAATACTCCGTGTGACCATTCTAGCTCTCATTGCCTGCTAAAAATTTGCCACCTTGTCTGACACCCTTCCCACCCTGCTCACGAAGGTTCCATGTCCCCAGGACGAGTGGCGATGCTGCTCTTAGCCCCCCGGCATCCTTCCCCCACGCTGGGGGTAAGTAATGGGGAGATTTCCCCAGGGAGGAGCAGCCCCTGCGCTGCCCCAGCCTCCACTCATCTGGATGCTCTGGGCAGCAGTGAATGGGGAAAAAATATTCACCTGGGATTTGGGGATAATGTGAGTGTCCAGGGCTGCCTCTGGCCATGCAGAGGGGCTTGGTGACCCTCCCGGGTCTGCTCCCAAGGCAACCTGCTTCCCCCAGGACCCCACACGCCGGGCTGGGCTGGCCCTGCGCTCCCACCAGCCCACGCTTGCTCCCGCTCGCTTGCTCTCTCCAAGGAACTTTCCTAGAAATCGCTGGCTTTATTTTTAGCCGCGGTACGGCAGCGCCTGGCTGGGAGGGGATGGGCAGCGACGGAGTGGGAGGCCCACGCAGTGTTGATGTGCTCCCACTGCCTCATCTGGCTCCTGCCCTGGCAGCGAGGGGCTGGGGGGGTCCAGCCCTGCCATGCGTTTCCCCATTGCAGTGGTGCTGGCTGGATCCTGGCCCCTTCGGGCATGAAGATGGGCTGCGAGGAAACCTGCTGCGGCTCACACAGGGGTGATGTCCCGCTCAGGGTGCGAGGCTCCCCCAGACCCCTCTCGCCAGCGCTGACCCCCCCCGGATCTGCCTCCCCCAGTGGTACCGAAGCCCCGGCTCCCACTGCGAGATGGGTGCTGGGATGGAGGTGATGGTCCTCCGGGATGGGTTTGGGGAATGTGGGGGGGCCAGGAAGGCTGAGGCTGTGGCTGGTTTGGGAAGACTGTATGGGGCAGGGAGGGTCAACATGGACAATGGGACCAGTGCGACCACTGGGGACAGTGGCGTCAGTGAGGGTGCTGTGGACAGCAGGGCTGCCAGGGCCAGTGGGACCGCTGGGGACAACAGGACACGGGACAGCAGGCATTGGGTGCTCTCAGGACAGCTGGTGCCCTTTTCTGGGCTGGGGGATCCCTCCAGCGTAGGGGTGAGCCACCCCAACCCCTTCCCACCCTCCAGGAGGGGCCCTGGTATCCCCTGCTCCACACTGTGCCTGGCCAAGGGCATCTCCACTCCTGCATCCCAGAGTCCCTTGTGGCCACGCTGCATCAGCATGGTCCCCGAGTCCCATCCCTGGGCTGGTGCAGGGACAAGGAGGCAAAAAAAATCACACGGCATGGGCTGGGTAGGGGGTGAGGGCAGGTGGTACAGGCAGGAGGAGGAGGACCTCAGCTGTGCGGCTCATTGGCCTCTCGCTGGGCAGGTTCACCCCGGGGGCTGCAGAGTGGGAGCTGCTTTTCCCCGACACTGCCATCCCGCTGGCGCAGGATGCTCTCGGTGCTCTGTGGTGGCACCGAGCCCCATCCCGCCACCAGCCTGGGCACCGGGGGCTGTGTCCCCCCCCAGCTCTGCCACTTCCAGGCTCCTCTTTCCCACCTCGTGTCACTTGATTGTTATTTTTTTTAGCCATCGGGAAGCAAAACGGGGCTCCTTGCTCCGCAGTGTCCCCTGCTCCCACCTGACCCACTTAGTGGGGCCATCTGGTCCCCGCGCGGGCAAAGCGGATTAGCCCTTCGGCCAGGGATCAGGGCTGGGACACTGCCACCGGCCAGGGGCTCTGCCGTGGGTGGCACCGCCAGCACCATGACAGGTCCTGCCGGTGCTCCCAGGGCCCCCGCGGGTCCAGCCCTGGGGGGGGATCGGCCACAGCATGAGCCCCTGGCCAGGGAGGGGACCCACGGCATCTGCCGCCATGGGTGACTGTGCCCGACCAGCCTGTGTGCCTGCACCCACTGGGAACCTGGCCTTCTCCGGCCCCCACGGGTGTGCGCCTGCATCTCCATCACTCCGTCCATCCATCCACCCAACTAATGGTGCAGGGATACACCTACCCACCCTGGTGTGCACCCATCCAATCATCCGTCACCCATCCATCATCCGTCAACTGTCCATCATCCGTCATCTGTCACCCGTCCATCTGTCTGTCCCCCGTCCATCCCTCTGTCTCGTCACCCACCCACACCCCCAGGTGTGCACCCACCTCTCTGGCCG